CACAACTAAGCCACAACTATTCTGCAACATATTTTTGGGCTTGGGTGGATTCCATACAGAAAAGATTATAATTAGTTGTCTCGGAAAGAATTTAAAAGACATAGGAATCGATATTGCACTGGCATGAATCCGGCATCTTTGGTGAGAATGTTGTTAAAAATTCTGTAATGAATGGAGGTCACTATGTTAGAGGAAAAGGAAACTATGAACTTGATAACAGAAGCTATCAGAATGTGAAGAAGACATCCAGTAATTCTTAGATACCATAGATGATATAAGATCACATTCTTCTCATGATGCGTCAAACTTTAAATGAAGTTGGAATGCATGTCAATCTACATCTGATATATTGATGCGTAAATTACAAAGAAAGTTTCCTGAAATTTACAAGACATACTTAAGTGGTGGGTTTGTAATGTATTATTCATCTAAAAGAAAAGGAAGTGCAGTACCCCTAGACCAGGCACTTGAGAAGAGTTACAACAAGCCTGCCAAAGGTGCTGGTGGAATAATTGGAATGACAAGACGAAAAGAAGCTGTTGCTCAATGGAACATAATCAAGCACCATAAGGATAGTTATGTAACCATTATGAAACAGTGGTCAGGTTTGTGTGGTGATGATAATGGTGAAGATGAGTATAGTCTTCATCATGAATTTAATCCTACTAGCACAAAAGAAGGAAAGGAATATTAAAGGTAAGCAAAAAAGAATTGAACCTTCCATCCACGTCTTACCTCTAAATAAATCCAATCATACATTAAAATTATAATACATAAGTGTCTACGTTAAGTTGTATTTGTCTTTCCAATATACTATTTTTGTTACAGGTGAAGAGTTAGAGGGTCAGATATCGGACATGCTGCTTTCTTCTGTACAAAGAGGGGAGAAGGATATCAGGAATATGTGAAGACTCGTTTGGATGAGAAGTCAAAGCAGTTACATGACACAATCCCAACTTTTCGTTGCAAAGTAACACGCACAAAAGAACAAGCTTATGATGTAAATAAGGAAACTATTGATGCTATCAAATATATTGAGTATGCAAGAGTCCGCAAGTATGACATCAATGAACTGTTGAAGTATGAAATAACTCCAACATCATTCTTCTTAACATCAAGCGGATTTCTGAGAAAGTCTGATAAATCTCAGCTAAGTAGAGAGCTACAAGCTCTACTGCCTGAAACACCAACGTCTAATATCATACCACACAATGATATAGCAGTAGTAGATTTTATTACTTTTGCCAGGAGAGTGCCAATAAAAAAAATGAAAATAGCCACATTTGGTGAATTTGCCGATAATTTATGGAAGATCATCATGGCTACAGCAAAGAAGTCTAAACGAATAGACATTGTCTTTGATGTCTACACAAAACACTCTATTAAACAAGCGGAGAGAGAAAGAAGGAGTATTAGAAAAACGCTGAACATTTCTATAACATCAGACTTACAGAAGCTACCAGAAAATTTAGACATGTTTTGGGGCTTTACTGAAAATAAGGTTGGACTGCAGAAGTATTTTTTCAAGTGGTTGACGATCAATTATACAGGAAACCAAAGTGTGTATGTAGGTGGCATTCAAGATGGGGACATAATTTCATGCAAACTGATATGCAACAATAGAGTTTGTGATGTCGATTGCTTGACAAAATGTAGCCATGAAGAGGCAGATGACAGAATGATTCATGTAAACAATGGTCTGGACAATGATGCCCGGGCTATTGTGGTTGCTTCTGGTGATACAGATGTATTTGTTAACCTCCTTTATCACTATAAAAATGAACTCTATCACCAGCAGTCATTTAAATTTGACTTTCAAAAGCTGCCCTGCACTTCAGCTACGATACAAGAGCATATCAAAAGAGCATACTTCCAGTGTCACCTGTGGATAAATGCAGCAAAGCTCTAAGATCCTAATATGTTAAACCCCACACTGTACGGTTATATTAAGAGTAAAGAACGACTCGTTCCCCTAATTGTTGGTCAGAAAACAACACCAACTGACTTGTCTCAACCATGCAAATGTGTGAAATGTAACAGTGACAAGTCATGTGTCTGCCAAAAATATAAATTACAATGTGTTAAGTTTTGTAATTGTGATATATCAAATTGCAGAAATAAGTCAAGACAAACATAATGTAAGTTAAATTAAAGCATTTATATATGTTGCATATGATGTCCAAATCACTAAATTGATTTTATCTGAAAAAAGGTGACAGCAGATTAGTTGTAGTATGTTTTAGCTTAGTAGTATATCCTTTAGAATCACAGTAATTTTTATAAATCATATTTTTTGTTTACAATGTTATCATTGGTATTGAAACTGAGGTCAAAGGTCACTGGCAATTTCCGGTCATTTTTGGAGAGTCTAATAGTAACATATTACTAATGACACATTTTGGTACAAATTTGAAGTCTCTAGCATAAATAGTTACAAAGATACAAAAAAGGTCATGAAATGTAGGTCAATGGTCAGTAAGGGCATTTCCGGTCATTTTCTGACCAAATTTTTCATTAGGCCGAATATAAATATGTATATTGTGAACAATTTGACACCAAATATAACTTTCTACGCCCAGTGGTTGCGACAGATTTATTATTGGGTAGCGTCATCAGATCGGTTTTCCAGGGCATTGCAACTTCATAATGTCCATTCTTGAATTGAATAGATTTATCCATCTTATCCAGTGCTTTCAGATCTTCCCTGGACATTGCTGTAGAGTTATCTTGCAGATCGTTGAACTCAAGGTTACAGTAGTTCTTGAATTGTCTCTCTAAAGAAAGACCATCAATAGTATTGGTGCTAATTGAGGCGAAGCTACTAACACTATCTGCATTGCTTGGTCTAATTGGGCCATTCACAACCCAGCCAAGTGCGGTATGTGTCGTGTATGGACCACCATCGTTTGTTGACGTTACCTCCATTGGTTGGTGTGCTTCTGGCACATCCGAACCAATTAGAATGAAAGGAATGCTGATTCCATGAAGATGCGGCCACATATTTACATCTTGTTGGCAGGCCATCATGTTCGTGGAAACTGGTATACACCTCCTAGTGTAAACTTTAGGAAGTATGATTTGTCTCGAACCATCAAGGATGCAAACTTCCAGAGAGACTGATTTGGAGTTGCTTATGGAGTGGCCATCCATGGTGGTAAGGTTGAGGCCAATAGGTTTTCCCTTGACCCTTAATTTCTTTGCAAGAGCTTCGGTACAAAACGTTATATTCGATCCATTGTCGAGAAAGGCATAAGTGTAGTTATAGTACATCTCCATTGTCCATGGCTCTGACTCCAACTAGCACGACGGCCATACCAATTCTTTTACTATTGTTTTCTACTGCTAATGAAGTTGGTTCATTCGCTACTGGAGTGGACTGGTTCAATGCGGTCAAAGTTCTTTCCTCGTTCGAATGGAAATGCGTCGTAGGCGGTTGGTTCCTTTGCGACTTATAGACTGGATGCAAAAACTTGCTTTTCGGGAAACAGTTTGCAAAAGATAGGCTTTGACAGGAAGACAAGAAATGTCCAGCAGTAAGGCAATTAATGCACAGCTTTCTTTCTTTAAAAAACTTTCTTCAGCCTTCCACGGATTTGGACTTAAATGAAGGACATCGTGAAAGCCAATGCTGCTCTTGACAATGAGGACATACCGGCTTTGGCCTTGTGTCCTGTGTTGTAGGATCGGATACTTGAGTGCTGAATGAAGAATGAATGCGATTGCTTCTCTTTCGGTCGGTCACCTCATGGAACATCAGATTGTTTTTGGCATAGATGGGATCGTTTAGCTTTAAAGCCTCTAACTGAACAGAGTCTACCATATCACTGAATCCTGTTCTCTTAGCCTGTTTTCGATTTTTCTGAACAACGTTCCTCCATCTATCATGTATGTGAAAGGGTAACTACACTGTCTATCACAGATTCTTGTCCATTTTTCTGAACAACGTTCCTCCATCTATCATGTATGTGAAAGGGTAACTACACTGTCTATCACAGATTCTTGTCCTTGTTCTACACTCTCTTGTTCGTCTTGCACACAGTCTTCATCTAAACACTGGCTGTCGTCCTTTTCACCTTCTATCTCTTCTTGCACTTGACTCTGTGCCTTAGATACCTCAATCTGGGTCTGGATTTCATTTGATTGGCTCAGGTGCTGGAGCTTTATTTCTGCCATTTTTAGTTTTATCTCTCGCACTTGCTTCTCCATCAGTAAATTTTTCTTTTCCTTTAATTCTGCAGTGATTTAATTCTGCAGTGATTCTATTGTCAGATTACCTCCTATAATCCTTCATAGTCTCACTCAAAGACCTGACATTCTGCCAAGCTTCACTGAGTGCCTTAAATTTGATTTCAAGAGCATATTCCTGCCCTTTGTGTGTTGACTTCCTGCTTCTTCTTTCTGAAGACAGTAGTAGAATATACAACTGGAGTTAAATAAACTTGAAACTCTAACAACCAGAGATGTTGGGCGAGTTGAGCACAAATAAATGCGTTTGGAGACAACTTCTAACACATCAACAGTATTGATTCATAGGCCAAAAAGTCTTGGGCGGATGCTGACCGTTGTGCAATCACATCCCCCTAAATTGTATTAAAAAAATAAATATAGGCCTATATTATTTGTAAGGCCTGTTGTATAGGCCTATAGACAGCAAAAAAAAAATCCCGCCCAACCCCAATTCTCAAAAAATATCTTATGCTTGGGCATTTTTTCAACCTTTATGGGTGTATATTTAGTGCGAGTAGGCCTGCAATCGTTGGTGGCGGTGTTTAGAACCACATTTTTGCAGATTTAGCATAATTTGGCTCAATCTGGCATAATTTGAGCCAGGTCACGGCATAATTGTAGGCAACGCTGCCTACAATTCTCATAATCTCTGTCCACCATACACCGCATGAAAACCAGCATGCAGTTTATAATCTGCTTGGCATAGACTATAATAAAACATGAGGGGCGATGTTTGTTTGCCTTATCGCAGTTTAAAATAGCAGCATTCTCTTATGGACGGTGGGTAGGCAGAATACCGCGTGGACGTAATGTAGATTACTTATTCTTAGATTTTCAATTTATTTTTGATTTAAAAAAAACCGGTAGGAACAGCCTGCTAATTCGGTAGGTGGTAGAAAAGTCAAATACGTAGGGTTGGCAGGTATGCCATTTGTCATGGGTTGATAAGTATATAGCACGATAAGCCAATCACTGTCGGAATCGCCGACACCAGGGAATATCCAGATAAGTGCAACAAAGATTATTCTTCGAAAGTTACTGCACAGAATCGAACACTGTCTCTACACAGAGTGTCTTAACACATACGTCTTGCCTCTTTCAAGACAGAGCCGCAACTTTCTTACGTTCAACAAGTCGCGCGCTAGGCCGTAGAACAGACGCTCTACGAAAATTGCTCCGCAAGTAAACAATACTGACAGAATAATGGAGCATGTGCTCCAAGTCAAAAAAGTAGTTCTAACTAAAATAAATAATTAGTAACATCAGTACATGTAGTATTAGTACACCGGGAATCATGTAAGAAAATGTGAGAAAAAGAATTGGCCGGGAGTCAGCAAAACAGGATTCTCCCGCCAAAACAGGAGTGTTGGCATGTACAGTATGTATTGAATAGAACAGGTAGCTGACTGCTTTACCAAGGGTAGCAGGCTCAATGTGTACCCCTTTTTACCTTATTAATCTTTATGTTGGATAAACAAGAAATAACATAAATTGATCACATAATGTGACAGTACTCATCTTATAAGGAGAAAAAAACTCTTTTTTAGGCTTTTTTTTTTACTTCCATCAAGTCCATACTTAATGTCCAACTAAAAGTATAAAGAATTCACACAGGACTGTCATTATGTTATGGATCAAGATAAAAATTAATGTTATTAATATTATTATTTGAGTCCATTAAATTTGTTGTGGTAAAAAAAATTGTAAAAAGGTCCCAATTAGGGGTTCTGGTTGGTGCACAGGAAGTGGTCCAGACGGCATGCACTACTCCAATGATGGGCTTGCCATGCGAGGCCTATGATTCTAGGCCTGGCAGATTGAGAGGATCGACCCAGGACCATTGTTTTTTTCAGTACATAAATATGCTGCAACATGGCGAGGTTTTGTGTCTTTAATATTTGTTGTGTTTGTAGTGAAGTTATCGTATTATACACTATTTATTTGTTGTACCTTTTATTTTGGGACATTAATTTACAAACATTATACAGTAATATAATTACAAATTACGTAAAAACAACTACCACGACAATATAATATACACAAAAAAAAACATTAACATGTATTACAAAATATAAATATTGAAATTGTTCAGACAAAAAAAATTGCACACATTTTGAGACACACCTCTTTCATTTTATGGGACAGTTTTAATTTTGCTTAAACATACTTCTGCAATATTGTAAATATATATGGATACATAGATAAGGTTTTCTCATCATGATTCTTGAAAATGATTAAATAGATTGAAACGTTGAAGTTTCAGTATGTCTATTTTTGAAGTTACTGTGTTTTTGTTTTACTGTATTGCCTTTCATAAAATATTCTTAGAAAACTGAAAGAGTGGGTGGATGTTTTGGCAGATGTACAATGTTAATTTAATTTCCTAGTGATAATGTTTTAAATTTGCTTTTGATTGATGTTGACAATTTACATTTTCCTTCTTTTTTTTTCATAGGTTTAGCTCTTTACATTTTTCAAGAACCTATACGTACCAATGTTGTTGAAGAAGTGTCGCAGGTAGCCACTCGTTCATTAGAAGATGAGCAAGTGGCTTTTAAGGCAGAGGAATTTTCAAAAGGTCTTCTAACTGCTATTGCCAATGATGACCACACTCAGAAACTTGCTGTGAGATTTTTACAGGAAGTGTTAGATCGCGAAGAAACAAAAATAGCTGCTAATAAACTTGTGTACACAGTGATTACCAATGAAGAGACCCAGCAGAAACTTGCTCATTTATGCAAAGATGTTCTAGCTGCTACATTGAATGACCCAGACATTAAACATGAATTAATTGTTGTAATGAAACTGGTGTTAAGGAGTGAGGAGGTAGTAGAGTCCGTCAGAAATCTTATGAAACATGTTATGGTGATGGAAGAGGTCCGAGAAATGATGGCACAGTTCTTTAAGAATGTATTGGCAACTGATGTAGTTGTAGAACAGGCTACAATGTTAGGTTAGTGACTTATTAATATTATATTTCGTTTTATCAATGTTCACCAATATATTACAAATGCATGCATGAATGGATCTCTAATGTTTCGTGTGCATCTTTTGAAAGAGTAGGCCCTTAGCACACTGATACTGCTAGTAAGAAATATGTAAATTAAAAATTGGTTTAATTATTTAGCCAGAAGGGAAAAGTTTATTTTTTTAAAGTTGTGGAACACCTAATGTGGGAGTGAAGGGCATTCTAGAAAGGGGAAACAGTCATCATTTAATATTAAGCTGCTATCAGACAAAGCTGTTACCGTAATAATATAGGAATAATATATAATATAATATAAATATTCCAAAAAAATGTATTAAATATGTAATTTTCTTTACCCAGGTAAAAGTGTAACTAAGAATGTAATCAGCGATGCAGCAATCCAAGAAGAAGCTGGATCTTCCATCTGGAAGGCAATAGGATTCTCCTTAACTCCCTCCTGGTTATCCTATTCTAAGAAACCTAGTGAACCTATTCCAGTCAAAGACTAAAAGTTGAGTTTTTAAATAAAGTAAGAATGGGAGCAGATGGAATTCTGGTGACCAAGGTTTTGTCAAGATCTCCACGGCTCAGCACACCGACTGAGGTAAACTACTCCCTAAGTAATTCCCTCAGACACTACATAATATGTCTGAGGCATGAGAGTGTCTTGAATGACCTCATCTGTATGTAAGCAGCAGTATGGTTTGTATGGTTTGGAATTATACAGGAACTGATGTGTTAATAGTAAAAATGTTTTGTTGTGTTTTGTGACAAACAAAATGATGTTGCAAATGATTTTACAATGGACATACAAATCAGGTTTAAGTACTTTGCATTGTTTGTGTATATTTGCTATGTTCTTTTTATAGCTTGCAAATTTGTTTTCAATAAATGAATATAACAAATTTTTATACCAACATAAAAATGCTAGATTAAAAATTTGATTTTTTGAAATTCAAAATAAAAAATTCCTACATATTCTATAACATAGAATTTCTACCTTCTTATTATAGAAAGAATACGCTAGTGGCACAATTAGTAATTTGTAATTTTAAAAAATTATTCACAAACAAATTATCAGGCACACAACACACAAACTGAAACAAACAAAATTGTACCAGGTGATAGGATTTTTGGTGAAATATTTTATTTTCATCCATTTTTTATAATAAATAATTTATATTGACAGCAACACTATACTTAATTCAGGTTTCTAGAAATACTGTATACAGTATTAGAAGCAACTTGTCTCATTATCACACGTCACTTAAGCTTCCTCCTTGCATTTTATAATTACTACTGTTATAAAGCTTTAATTTAATAAATAATACAATGTAATACTAATAATACAATCTATATCAGTATAAATATTGATTTAATTTTTTTATTAATTAAGTCAAAACATTCACTTTAAAATTTTAGTTTTTTAAAAGTTTTGACAAAAAAAATGATTATTTGATAGTGTGGATTCAATTTTTGTCTCTATAGTCACTAAAGCTGGGCAGTCACTGCACATGACGGTCATCGGCCAATGTGATTCCATAGAGAACACAATGCCACAATGCACATGCAACTGATTGTTTTTTAATGACGATCTGCTCAGACTGCCACCGTCGATCAGCAGATGGTACTGCGTCATCAAACGCTCACAGGAAATGGAGTTTGGCTCATCGGATGACAGTCGTACAATGCAGTGAGTGCCCAGCATTAGATGAGAGATGCTACCAAATACTGTACCACCTGATTACTGTATGTATCAGTGAGGAACTTACTTATTGCTAAGAGCAGAGATGCTGCTGGACGACGACATTAATTACAACAACCACAAACATTTACTTAAAGCATCAAATTTGGCTTGAGGTTTTTTACTTTGCAAGTGATGATACTGACTTTGGTTTTGGTATGAAACAACCTTTTGACTTGAGAGATATCATTGATTAAAGGTGAGTCAAACTAAACAAGGTATAAAAAAGTCCCATCTTAACAGTAATATTTAAAAAAATAATACTTACCATAAAAATTATTAAAATAGCTAGTTATATTATAATAGAATTTCACTCTCCAGAGGGCACTATAGTTGATGATTGACTTTTTTTTTTTTGTAGTACACACTATATTAATTTTCCTGTGATTTCAGGTGTAATACCATATCTCAGTATGTTGTATTGTTTTGATAAATATACTGTTAAAAATATTCTATGTCCTTTTTTATTTGTTCATTAAAATAATCAGCAAAATATAAATAAATTTACAAACTTCTTAAATGAAAACCATTTACAGTTGCTGTGCTTTTTTATAATTTATTATTAATATAATATTTTTGCACAGGTACAAATTCTTACATTAGGCCACAAGATTGAAAGTTTTGTGATTATATACAATTATTATGCTTGATAAAATACCCAGAGACATAGAGCTGGATGGTGCAATAAATAACAGAAGAACCTGACCAAAAATTATCAAAAACACATCAAATGTAATGCAATAATTCATGATGATACTATAATTAAACAACAGTATAAATTAATACATATCGAGGAAAGAGCCACCAAAACAAAAATGTTTCAAAATTAGAAATACACATTTATAATGCAACAACTTTTTTTGGTGGGATTTGATGTTCTTGCAATGCTAATTGTTTACTTGGTGTGGGTGGAATTTTCGGTGGTAAACCCAAGTGACCATTAGCTGCAGCAGCCTCGGACCCTGATGCAGGAATCGTAATAGTTGTGTTTGCATCAAATTGATACAGAAGTTGTAATTGTTGTAGGTTTGTACATAAGCTGTTGGTTCTGCTGAGTTGATCTGATGCTCTTGATGGTCTCCTTTCTAAATCTGAATGTCGCCCTCTCTTGAACAAACACCATAGTTTTGTTTTAAGTATTCTTCGAAAGGCTGCTTTAAAGTCCTGGTTTCGGTAAGCATAAACCAATGGATTAGCACAACAATTCACTAAAATAAGAATGCCAGTATACTTATAAAACTCATAATATCTTCCACTTTTCAAAAAAATTATGTCCATGGCAATTGATATAACATACAACACCCATGTAAAGGAATAAACTCCAAATATGAGAGTTAGAGTCCTTGAGTATTTATTACCTTTGAACATGTGGTAGTTTCTGTTGCTGAAAAGTCCTGGAAAAAGGGAAAGTTGCACAGCTGAAATAGCTCTTGAGTGGTGTCTTGCAACAGACCAAACATTTATATATGCAAATAATATTAATAAAAATGCAGGAACAAATGTTACTCCAAGCTGAATGAGAATAGTATAGCCAATGTCTAAATAGTTGCAGATGTGTTTATAGTCTGTCTCAATTGGCCATGAGTGTAATAACGGCAATATTGCAACAACTATTGAATACAGCCACATTATTAAACAGTATACAGCCACACGTTTTGAAGTTAGTTGCTGTGTGTATTTTAGCGGTTTAACAAGTGCGAGATAACGGTCGTATGCTATCATTGAAAGGCTAAGCAATGAAACGGAACATGCGATTGTGATGATACAGAACGGAATGTTACATAATTTTCCTGTGTCAAACTTGTACATAAACACTTGTAAAATACATATAAACAGCATAAGAATACTAACTATAATATCGGCGATGGCAAGATTAACCAAGATATAATTTGATGGAATTTGTAAACGTTTGTATCGCATCACAGCTAACATGACCATCACATTCCCAAAGAGAGTCAAGAAAACAAAAGGAATAACAATCAGGATTGTGAAAATATTGTAGAGTTCCAACTGAACACCATCTTCTGTGGAGGCATTTAGAACATCACTATCAAGTGTCATCATTGAGGTGGTGGTATTAGCAGAGTTGAGCAAGTTCGGAGCGAGTGACAACATCTCAGGCTTGATGTTCTGCAACGGTATCACAAAGTTCGAGCTCATGCTTATACCTTCCATCCAATATCAATAAGCATGGAATCTATGATAATGTCATCTCTTGTATAACCTGCATACATAAAAGAAAATTAAAAATATTTAGAAATACACCTATAAACATTCAGTGATCTCCCCCCCCCCCCCCCCCCCGTTTTGGTGGAGGATGTCAGTATTTGTGTTTGATAATTAATTGCCAGGTGTTGGAACTATTGAATACAGAACAACAAAACTGTTGGTATGCTGCAGCTACCAGGCAGTTGAATGACAAAATACAAAATGTGGCTGATTATGTGTATTTCTATGTAATTTATTTAATACTATTATTTATTTATTTATTTAATATTTGATGTGCTTAGTTTGAAAAAAAAAATTATTTGATTTCTGTACCCACATTATGTAATTTGAGACCCAAAAAATTATGTTCCATAGAAAAGCAAAAAACCAAGATATGACCATGTTATCTTTAGTTTTAAGTGCTGAAATGTTCTAAGAAAGGTGAGGACAGGTCAGTGTACACACCATCATAAAATCTGATTTGTAAATTGTGTTTAAGAATCGTCTCTATCAACCTAACAATCTGAGTCAACTTCCTTTTGTAGGCTAACATAATTGACCTCGTATCCCCTCTCAGTCAAATATATTTGGCCTATGAAGACCATGAAGCAAAATTTACATAAATTTTGTAAAATTTTTAAACTTTATCTTCTAACTTTATTTTTAAAATTTTAAAAAAAGAGACATTTTAAGGCACTATGCCTTAAACACCCAATTTTTGGGTGGAGATATATGCTATCAATATTGTTAATATTATTATCTCCAATATCAATCAGCATCAAATGTACAAATGTTATAAAATACACATTTTTTATGTCATCATTTTGCAGTGTTTACATATACCACCTTAATACACTAGTGTGGCACCCAGCACCAGCGATGGTAGAAAACTAGAAGAAAACGTTGACTGTAATAAATGAGTATACTTGTCCAAAACGTTGTTGTCAAAGGTGCATTAAGATCTAAAAAAGGAGGTCACTTACGTATTTGATTTTAAAAATACCTCCATGCTCTAGCTAACTCGCTGGAGTTTATTATTATTATATTTATTTATATTTATTTTTATTACGCTGTCTGCTCCACTGAAATCCCCAAAATAAGACATTATGTATTTCTTCTTTGATATAAATTAAAAGAATTTGTCAATCTCTTTACTACACTGTTTACATTCATTAACAAAATTTTATTTTATTTTCTCCTCCGTGAGGTCTATATTACTCTTTAACGTCGTTAAAATTTCCCCTTAGCTTAGTATTTTCGCC